GCTTCATCTTGAATACCAAATAAATGAACTTTACATGGACTAAGGTAATAAATTTTACTTACTTGTTGATCTAAATGAGGCACATGAACATTTTGGGCTCAATCATAACTATAATGAGCAGTGGCATCAATACTGCAATATTGTGTTTTATCCTTTGAATATTTTTGGTTAACCAGTTTTCTTTGTTCTTCTGCTAATTTGGTGTTTTTATTGTAATAATTTCTTTCTAATTTGGCCTTTGATAGGTGCTCTTTAACCTTTTGAGCAAATCTTTAGCTTCATCCTCTTGGTGGACATTATAATGTAAACCATCTCTAAAATGCTGACAAGTATCACACAAATCAGTCCTTGGACTCATAATTTGAATCTCTGGTGTCAATTGATGTCACAACTTCCTAAAAGCATCATACTTCAAGGAATTCAATTTGCTATCTTCCTCTAAACCAGCTAGAAAATCTCTGTGGACTGATTTATAACTCCTTTCAGCTGGTAAGAATACAATTGATTGAGTTATTCTGTTAATACTTCTTCCTGGACTTGGTAATCCATGGACTTCAGCATAATTTTCAAGGAAGTTTTTTACTACTTCAGCAATATTTTTATCAATTACCATTTTGGTTTTTCATTGAGGCATCTTCTTTATATTGCCATGAACTCTTGATATAAGTCCATTGTTTATCAGATGATTTCTGACATTTTCAAAATAAGTCCTACCAATTCCTAACATATTGAGATAAGTTTCTTGACAAAGGGGTGTATTGTGATCCCAATGATAGAAAGTTCTTTTACTAGATCTAATTTTCTTCTTAAGGCGTCTGCTAGTGCTTATTAATCCCCCATCCATTGCCTTAAGTTGAGCCATTAAAATATGTCTTGCTCAGACTTGGAAAGAGCTTGAAAGGATTCCCTTAATGCTGCAAATTCTTCCTTAGGAATTCTTGAAGAACAACCACAATCACAACCTTTTTCTAAAAAATCAATTGCTTTTTGATATTCATTAGAACCATTGTATTTATTACCTTTGTTAATATTTTTCATATACACTTATCCCTATATATATAATTTTATGTTCACTTTGTAAGTTTTTATATGTAAGAGTCTATCTCTTATTTTTCAAATTTAACCTAGAAGTCAAATTACTTCTAACAATCAATATTTATTTCTGGAGAATAATTATTTCCTACTTCCTTTGTTCATTCATGTTTTTTTGATCTTTTCATTCATATATATAAATTACAATAAATAAATAAATAATAACATAATTATAATGTGAAATAAATTAATGCTCTCCAGCATTATCCACTTTCACTAATTAACAATTAATATAATATGAATATAAATAATGTGTAACTCTTTATTCATAATAACTAATTAACATAACTCTGGTACATGAATGTATGTGTTGCATTTATGGCATTCTCAAGTTATGACCAAAATAAACAATGAAATAAGAATAGAACAGCCGCAACAAATATTGTCACAATTTAACAATTATTATATTATAATTTTTTTTTAACAATAGTGAATAAATACATAATACTTGAAAGCATTTTTCAAAATTAATGTTTACATATAACATCTTTATGTTCATTTGTGAATAAAGGAAGACACAACTACTTTTACTAAACTCAATCATCTATTAAAAAATGTACATTTACTAGTATGAGATCATTTACAAAGGGTTATCATTTAAAAGTTTTTTATAATACAAAAAGTAACTTCTTTCCAGCAATTTAAAATTAAATTGATTAAATTTAAAGACAACATAATATCTTTATCTTTAAATAAAGAAAAAAAAATTTTTTTTCATGTAAGATGGTAAAGATGTTATATTATTATTATTATTTATTTGAATGTGCGCATTTGTAAATTTGTGTGTAACAAAAAAAATTTCCATAAAATCAAAATATGATCAACAAAAATTAACCAAATTATTGTTTTTTTTATTGACGCGATTGATTTTTTTAAAAACAATATATTTTTTACATATCATAGCTACTTTAGAATAATATTTTATGCTGTAAAATAATACAAAAACGCATATAACAACATCTTGTCAAAAATAATCAATCAAAATAATTTTCATTCTAAGTAAAAACTCTACGCAAACTTTTTTCTTATGATCATGTTTGTCTTTTCGCGTCAACTATCCAACCTTCTTTGAAACTTCCTTTGAACTTTCAAGATGCAATCTTTTTTGAAACAGCAAAAGATTATTTTTTAGAGACTTTTCGGGAATATAAAGCTACAAAAAATGAACGTTTTAGTCCTTCTCAATATGGAATATATAAGCAGCAATTACAAAAACTTGCAGGTTTAGAAGAACTCCAGTATAAATGCTACAAAGAAAAAGCTCAAACTGCATTAAATGTCTTTGAGGTAAGGACAATTTCAAAAGTCCTCAGCTATTGCGTTCTTTGGAAGCTGGCGGATCTAATCTTCTGAAGGAAGGTTTCTGAAACAAGCTAGGAGCTTACCTAGTTTCTAAAAGAAGCTATCCTTTGTTAGAAGAAGTTTCTGAAAGGAAGCTAGATCTTGCTCAATCTTTTAGAAGTTTCTAAAGAAGGAAATTTTGAAATAGTCTTACTGGGAATATTTTCTCATTATTAAACTTTTTATTATTAGAGCCAGCAAAGAATACAAAAAAAAGAAAAGAAAAAAAAATTAAAAAGTAAGCTAAAAGAAAGTCAACACAAAATAAGAACCAAAACATTGCAAAATGCAGAGCCTGATCAAAGATCACTCAATGATACTGTTAATACCATAACTGAAATTTTGCGAAATGCAAGACCTAATCTAAGACAAATCAATGACACTGTTAACATCATGCCTCTCAAAGATCATGACCTTCAAAAACTCATTGACGTGATTAATAATAATATTCGTAATGCTACACATGGTAAAGATATCTCAAAGGAACACTATCAATTTCTAGTTTGTGGAGGAACAGCTGGTATCGGTAAATGAAATTATCTTACGCTTACATTAGTTTACTTTAACAAGCAACTGAAACCTTCTAATTAATTGTATTCTAGGCAAGACACGACTAGGGCTGGAAGTTTTTAACATTTTGCAACATCACTGGACACTGCCAACTGAATGGTCAAGCAATGGTTCAGTTCATACCAAGTACTTGCGTCTCGACTTTGGAAATGATGTGATATTAGATGTTTATGATTATGATATATCTGCATCGATAATTATTGGTATACGTATGGCCTATGAATTTTTCATTAAAGGAAAATATGATATTCAGTTTCGTGAGTTTCGCCATGAGGCTCTCAAGAATAAGGACAATTTTAACATTGATTTTGTAATCACTGCTATCAGAAGTTCTCTATGCCTTGAAACAGGTCAGCGTCTTTTTTTGTTTATCCATATTGATGAATTTCAAAAAATTATCAATTTTGACGGTTGGAATGCAGATACAGAGAAACCATCAAAAGGACTATTCAGATGTATGATGTATGAACTTGGGCGTTATATGACATATCAGAGTCCACAGTGTATCTTTGTACAAACATTTCTTTCTGGGACGGAACCACACAGTATAATACGAGCAAATGAACCCACATCGTACTCTTGGTATTTTGCCGAATGTCCATTGTTGTCAATGGCTGCACGTATTCAGATTATGGAACATTTTGTGGTACATTACGACTCTTCTAATGATTGGAAATTGAAAATGTGGATTCACCAATTGTTGTCGGATACTGGTGGCCTTCCACGTGCTCTGGAATACTTATTAGAACATTTTTTTGGTGTAAATTATGATTGGATACAATGGTTTTTAGATGAAATTGACAAACATAACCCAAACAACTTTTTTAATGGAATTGCATTTGATCTCAACAAACGGTATGCAGTGACAACATTTGCTGAGGAACGGCGATAAAGACTAGTGCCGTAAATTATGATGATGGTAGTAATTGTATTTACGGCATATAAAAAGTGGTTGCAATTACCTTTGCGACCACTTTTGCAACCATCCTTTTTCCTTTTTTGGATTATGGCACTAGTCTTTAAACGGCGAAGCCTTACTTGGGCACTTATACATTATTGTATTGGGTTGATCCCGGTAATGAAAACAGATATTCTTTCACAAGAGTATCCTGGCGAAACATTCGAAGTATTGGAGTGCGATAGACATCTTGTTCTTAAGTATCGTGGTGAAAATAAATATGTGGTTCAAATGCCACTTATATTTCTCTATCTATATAATCAAGTTCTTCACATGGCTACAAACATTCTAGATGGTATTTTTACTCCTCATTTTATGTTACAGTGGCAAGATTGGGAATGTTTTGTAGCAGAATTTGAAGCATTTCACAACAATGTTCTAATTGAATTGGGTAAAGAAGTGCAATCACTCCGAGAAATTTATCGTGGTGCTTATGGTCATAAGAATACCTTAGAATTACGTATTAAACTTCGTCCTCTTACTGTTCGCCGTATAAGAGAACAATTTCCCTGTCTTAAACTTAGTGATTCTATAGATTTTAATGAAGTAGACTGGAAATCTAATAGTATAATTATTAATGGTTGGGCAGCACCATTTGCGGACTGTTTTCGATGTGAAATTACTGATGACGAGCATTTTCTGTTCATTTGCTCCCAACAAAAATGGAAAACAAATACTATTTGTATTGAAGATATCCTAGCTGAACATGAAAAAAATATTAAGGCATTTGGAAAAGCGCAGGAGCCACTTAGATCTGAATTTAAAAAGTATAGGCTCATTACTGTGGTCTTCACTAACCAGCCTTTTTCTGGGAATTTCGCAAACATTCCCTTAAATTGCTTACTAATCTGTCAGCAAAATTTCCAAGATTACTTTGGCCATGTCTTTGCTTCCCGTGCTGCATTTGCAATTACAAGGGATAGCAACCCAAATTTCATTAATCCTGATCGTTTATGTGCAACACTTAAAATTCCTAAGAAACTTTCTGGTGAAATTAGTCGAAAAAGGCCTTTTCGATCACGAAATGAAATAATTGAAAAGATTCCTGAAATGCAGAGCCATCTGGATGCTGTAAAGATGATGTCATTTTTTCCTTATGGTGATGATGTGAGAGCTTTAGATTCACCAGCGAAGAAGCAGCATACTGAACTTTACTATAATATTGAATGTCAACGTATGTGTCATACTAATTTAAATGATACAGATAAGGAAAATTTGTGGTTGCAATGATACAAGAAGAGATCAATTTTTATATATAATATAATAATTTGATATTAAAAAATGATAAATGCTTTTTTATTGAACTGTGTTCTAATTTTTCGAGTAATTCATTCAAATGATTTAATAATTGTAATGAAAAACTTATTAATTAATTCGTTCAATTTGTTAAAATTTTTTCAAAATTTTTTTTCAATTTTTTCTTCTTTGTAACATTTGCATAAATATATTTAACGTTAAGTTAAGAATGGATGAAAAGTCTGTATTCAATTTTTATAATGAAAAGTCTTGTCTGTGTTCAGTTTATCATGAAAACTCTTGTCAATCTTGCCAAAAGAAATACCAATAAGGAAATTGTTTGCATAAAAAACTATCAACCTTTCTTATATATATGTAAAAAAAAAAAAAAAATATTAGCTTTAGTTTTACAAATATATCCAAATTCTTTAGTTGAAAATTTAATTGAGTAGGAAAGTTACGTATTTAAAAAGGGAAAAAATAAGAATATCATTATTTATGACAATGATCTTGTATTAAAAAGAAATTTTTTTTAAGATATGCACGTATATGCATAATGATTTTAATTTATACTAAAAACAAGTAATAAATAAATTATTATATATTTCTAAAAAAATAATCATTGAGACTTGATATTTATTGAATGTACTAAAACAGACGAACAGATGCACTAATAGTTTTAAAGATGATTGTTTGTCAAATAAAATCATGAAAATTATCACCTTGAGAATTAAAAAATATGAAGATAGAGAATTACCAGCCTTACCTAAAAAGCAAAAGCAAAGCAGACTATTAAAATTCAAAAAGTTAGTAAACAAAGTTAAAGAAAAGAGCAAGGAGAAGTTTCAAACTCATGTTTTGGAAAAGTTTGAGGCTCATATCTTACAACCAAAGTAAACAGAATGAAACTAGAGTACAGAGTTTTGGAATTAGTAAATGGGGATGAACAAGAATGTAGTTATTGCTTTATAGATTATAGTGACCAGACTAACCTTGATTTTAGCACTGCTCCTGCTGCCTATCAGATGGTAGCACATACCAAGTCAGAACAATACTTTGATATATCCTTTATCTGTAAAGATTGTAAATTGGAATATGATAACAATGTTCTCCCAAGATGTGAGAAATACGATAGGTTAATGAGAAATAAGAGTCTATGTTATTGTCATAAAGAAAAAAAGAAGCAAACCCAATCTCTTACTAACAGGGAATTAGTTGCCCAATCTTTCAGTTCTCGCCTAGAAAATAAAACTAGAGAACTAGAAAAAGAGTTATCAATTACCAAAGAAGAATTAAAAGTTGAAAGAGAGGAAATAGACAAGTTTCAAGAGAAATCAGAAGAGTGAGGTAAAAGGCAAAAGCAAGAGTTATTAGATAAGATAAAAAGTTTAGAAGAGAAAATTAATCATCTAGAAGAAGAAAACAGGAAATTAAAAGATCAACAAAATGGTCAATTAACTGCTCAAATTGAAGTTAAAGAGATTAAAAGATGATCTTGATTGAAAATAAAAAAGTAATTGAGGAAATTTCTCTCTATATAAATTGAAATTCATCCACTATTAAAGAAAATGGTAATTATTTTCCTTTTAGGGATTTTTGCTTTTTATTAGGTAATAATGCATCATCATGATGCTTTCTTTTTCTAACATTTATTATTTTTCTTTCCTCTTGATAAATTTCATAAGTAATCCTTTCTTTTCTTAGATAAGCTTCAAGTGTTTGAGTGTCATTTATTTTGAAAATGTAAGGAGCAATTTTTTCACCTTGTTCCTTTTTCAAAATACTTCTAATGATGCTATAATTCTTGGGTTCCATAGTAGATCTGATATAAATGAGTTTCATATTAACAATTTTTTTTTATCTAGAGATAATCCTACAATATCATGATCACAATTGTGATGTTAAAAAACATTATTGATCCCTGAAATTCTTGTAGTACCAATCTTCACTTTGTCTGGTTTTGTTGCAGCATGCCCTACATGAAGTTGACAAATGATTTTCAACTGTTTTATATTTAGCTATCTTTCGAGAGTTTATGGTACAGTCAGACCTCCATAAATGCACCCCCTTGGGACCAAGGGACAGCATGCATTTATTGAGGGTGTGCATTTATGGAGAGAAGCAATTTCATTGGTCACAAATGATACACAATATTTTAAATACAGTAATACTAAAATAACTATCCATTGTAGTTTGTTTTGATGAATTTACTTTTTTTATATTGATATATCTTTCAATTTTATTAACCAATTTTATTTGTTTGTAGTGTTATTTTTATTGCTGTAATAAAAATGAATGTACAGTTTCAAGACCTTTAATGCTTCCTCAAGGCTTAATGCCATCTTCTCAAAATTGTCAGCAGGTACATTCATTTTATTTTTATATATTTCTGCAAGTTCTTTGATTATTTTATCATCATCTGGAACCTCACAGACAATATTTTCTTCAGGGATATTCAAAAATTCATCAACTTGCATTTTATGAAAGCATTTAGTGACACAGTCATGAAATTGGATTACATTACATATTGGAAATTATCCAATCAAATCAAAAATTTTGCCGATGATTTCTAAATTTATCCTAGTTACACGATGAATTTTATACATTAGTCATGTGGGGTGCATTTATGGAGGGAGTTTTCATATGAGTGGGACTGAAAAAATACCGTGCAGTGCAGAGTATGGAGAGTGTGCATTTATGGAGATCCGACTGTATTTGGAGCTGAGTTTGTAGATCAATGGATGTTGTAGATCAATAAATAAATTTATTTAGTTTGCTCTAGCATTATTGTTAATTAAATGCATAATGTGGAAATGACCATTCCTAAAACGGCTAACTTCCAAAAAAAAAAAGAAAATCAAAGAAAAATTCAATATAAATATATTCATGCAGTTTATTGTTTAAATGTTACAGAAGGAAGAAGGAAGAATCATAAAATAAATTATAAAATATATATATATAGTAAATAAATAGTAAACCAAATGGTAATAAATTAGGGTTATTGTTATTTAATAAAAAACTTTTTAGAAACTTTTTTTATGAATGATATCAGGATCTTCTTGATATTCTTCAGCTGAAACCCACATCTAAACAAATTTAAACATATGTTAATATGTTATCAATGATGATGTGATAATTTGGTTTTTTTTGTATTACCTTCTTGAAAGTGCTTAGAGCTGCTAATATAGATCCACCTATCCATGTACTATATTTTCTTTCTGAAGGTGCATAAATCTTAATTTTAATATCTTTGACGGCCAATTTCCTCACCTCATTCAGCAATCTTGTACCAAAATCTTGATGATGGTAATGATGATGATGATAATTATAATGGTGATAATAATAATAATAACAATAAGTAAAGTAAAACAAAATATATTACATATGTACATGCACACACATCTTAATAATAAATTTACCTTTGTAAAGTGTTGATCCACCAGACAACACAACATTTGCAAATAAAGACTTTCTTAAATCTAAATCTACTCTATTAATTGAATCAACAACAACTTGGTGAACGCCTGCATACTCTTCTCCAATCAATTCTGGATTGAATAAGATTTCGGGTGCTTTAAATCTTTCAGTTTTCAACTATTACAGTATTGTAATAAATTATAATAATAAATAGCTTTAAAAGTTGGTTAATTAATTCCAAAAAAAAAATTGTATACATTTATTTACCTTGACAACATTACCATCAGGCAATACATAATCACTAAATTCTCTACTGGTATCTTTTTCTTCTTTATTCGGATTTATTGCAACATAACAAGTCTTTTCTTTTATGGTACGTACGACTTCTTTTTCTGCAGTGGTATGAAAATTATAACCAGATCTACGAAGAAGTAATTGTAAATATTCTGTAACGTCACTATAAAAAAAATTTTTTTTTTTTTTTTTGAGAAAAGAGAAAGAAAGTCAGTCATATAATGATAATTATAGTAACAGTAAATAGTGTTGATAATGTTGTTGATTGATAATGTGCTAATATTAATAATAAATAGAAATATAGTAATATTATTAATAATAATACTTTACCGGCCTGCAATATCAACTCTACGAATAGCATGAGGAAGAGCAAATCCTTCATATACTGGTACAGCATGAGTTACACCATCACCGGAATCAAGGACTATACCAGTTGTTCGACCTGAAGAATAACTAACGTAAAAATTTTTTTTTATAAACAAAAAATTTTCAACTTTTTTAAAAAAAAAGATTATCTCTTTCTCTGCATCTATACTTACAGACTCAAGACAGCTTGAATTGATGTGAACAAAGCTGGTGCATTGAACGTTTCAAAAAACATTTGTGCAGCAGAATCTCTATTATTTCTTGGATTAAGTGGAGCTTCAGTCAAAAGGACTGGATGCTAATAAACAGAAACCATTGTAATTAAATGCATGTGTTTGTTCACGTTATTATATAATAATAATAATATTCATACTTCTTCTGGAGCAGTTTTTAATTCTTCCTCATAAATATATTTCCATATACGTTCCATATCGTCCCAATCAGATACAATTCCATGTTCAATCGGATACTTTATTTTGAGAAGTCCTCGTAACTCTTGAGCTTTACGTCCAATAAAAACATCACCTTCTACAGCACCTGCCATAATACGTACATGTTTTGGACGTCCAACACTTTTTTTTTAAAAATTCAAATATTATGTTTTCTTGAAATACATACATATATATAAAAGTCTTATTTGAATTTAATAAATAATGCATACTATGAGGGAATAAGACATTTTGGTTGATCATCACCGGCGAAACCAGCTTTAATCACCCCAGAGCCCTTAAGAAGAATAACAAAATGAAATAAGAAAATTATTCTACCATTACTTATATGATATACACATCTCTTTTATATACATACATTATCGATTACAACAGGTTGATTAGTCAAAACGTCCTCGTATTCCATATTTGCTTGTTTTTTTTTTTGTTTGTCTTTTTTTCAATTTTTTCAATGTAATACACAGAATT